GTATGGGCAGCCATTTTAATTGCAACCGATGTGCAGAAACATGATCATATTTACGTAAATTGAAAACGAATCGAATGCAGTTATTTAGAAGACGGTCAATTTTGTTGAGTAGATCTGCATTCAGGTCGTAGTAACACACATCAGCATAATCGATGATAGGAAAAATCAGGGCCTGCACCAGCCGTGCCTTGGTAGTAGACGGAAGGAAGTTTCTAAGGCGGTACAAGCCTCGCAACGACCCAGTTACCTTCTGGCATACACTAGTGACCTGTGCACGCCAGCTCAATGTGTTGTCAATATGTAAGCCAAGATCCTTCACATCCTCACTAAACGGGATCGCCACATTATTGTACGAGACAGGCTGCAGCGATGCGACACTGACTGTTTTCCAGGTACGTGTGCTTCCAATGATTATGGCTTGACATTTGTTTGGATTTACTTCTATGCCGAACCTTTGTGACCAGTTGTAGATAGCAGCCAAATCACCATTTACTGCCGTGATAGCACTAGGTAAGTCATCCACTGCAGCCTGACAGTACAGCTGCAAGTCGTCCGCATACAGATGATACGCACACCGAAGTTCAGAAGTAATGAAATTAATAAAGATTGAAAATAAAAGAGGAGAGAGAATGCCGCCCTGAGGGACACCAGCCAGCAGATCACACCAACCTGAAGAATTATCGTCAAGCCGGATCGACTGCTGACGCCCCCGAAGATAGGAAGAGAACCAGTCCAGTGTTTTGTCAGAGATTGCAAGATGGGACAGGATGGCCAAAAGGAGATCGTGACTGACCATATTAAAAGCGTTTGAAAAGTCAACTAATACCAAAACAGTTACTTTGGTATCCTCAATCCCTGCCCTAATATCGCCAGTCACTTTAAGGAGGGAGGAGACAGTGCTGTGTCCAGGTCGAAAACCTGATTGGAGAGGGCTTATTAAACTGTTTCCATAAACAAACCGTGACAGCTGCTTATGGACACAAGCTTCAAGCACCTTAGACAGGAAGGGAAGGATTGAGATTGGACGGAAGTGAGTGGGAAGAGATGGGTTACTAACCTTAGGCAGTGGACGAACAAAAGCTTTACGCCACAAGGACGGGAACACTCCAGAATACAAGGAATAGTTGACAATATGGGTAATTGCTGGAAGGAGATAAACCAGGATGGACGTGATCATGTCACGGGAGATGGAGTCACAGCCAACAGCTTTGGATTTAATGGAGAGGATTGTCTTACGAATCTCCTCCGACTGAACTGGTATGAAGCAGAAATTTTCGACCCCAGGACGAGGCAGACTGGAAATAGAAGACAATGTGTTTCGCTTAGTTAGGTGATCCAGAGATGAGACAGTGGAAAAATGATTATTAAGTTCATCTAAGCCAATCGAAGAAGGAAGGTTAGCGGGTTGCGGTTTGCCGATACCTAGAGTTCTCAAGAACTTCCAGATATCAGCTGGAGATGAAGAGGAAATATTATTGAGAATGTGGCGGCGTTTGGCGTTGCGTACCATCTGATTACATCTATTCCTCGCAGTTTTATATGCCGTCCAGTTCTCCTCTGTCCGATCCCTCTTGTGCTTCCGAAACGCGCGGTCCCTGCGACGCATAGCCGCCTGGATCCCTCTGGTCATCCATGGTGCCGGAGCACGTTTTAATCGGATTCTTTTGACAGGCGCATGATGGTCATAAAGGTTAATGACAGCTTTGTTGAAAATGTCAATCTTGTCATCAACCGTAGTAGCTTCCATTAGTGGTTCCCAGTCTATTCTGGACGCGTCCTCCAAAAGCTTCTCATTGTCCACCTTCCCGAAGCAACGTCTGTACAGTACCCTGGGTTTTGCCTTGGGTGGTTTCAGGATGTAGGAGAGGTATATAAGGTCATGATGAGAAAATGCCGGAGCGTCATGTTGACCATGGCAAGAGACGAGGGACGGATTAGATGTGAGGATTAGATCGAGCCAGGTGTCGTCCGCGACAGTATTGTGGTGAGTGGGTTGGAGTGGTAATATGTGCAGACTAGTTGACTCGACCAGGTGTAGGAGTTTGCGGGATCGAGGGGAGTGGGTAAGGAGGTCAGTGTTGAAGTCACCCATGATTACGAGATGCTCGTACATTGAACCCACGGATTCCAAAACTGATTCGAATTCAGTGAAGTAATCGACAGTTGGAGGGCAATATACAACCCCAATAAGAATTTTGGCCCCCTGGACACAAACCTCTAAGAATATATACTCAGCAGGACAATTAACGGGAGAAAGTTTGAGTAATTTGTAAGGGAAGTATTATCAGGTGTTTTAACTGTAATGCACCTCTTGTCAAGGAATTTCAGCAGCTCCTGTAAGCAATAATAATAATAATTGATATTGTACATAATCTATTAAATGATATTGTTGTAAATAAACAAATATGAATAATTTTTTTTTGCTTTCATTCATATCCATATTAGATACGAAATATTTACCGACTTCAAAAAAGGAGGAGGAGATGTTCGGCTGATTGTTTTTTTTTTGTTTGTTCGCGCAGTACTCCTCATTCTGTGAACCGATTTTCAAAATTCTTGTTTTGTTTCAAAGGGTCTCATTTCCATTCCAACTCCCGAGATGTTCACATTTCCATGAGGTCAGGATTGGATGTTGGGATCCTAGGGAAAACGACAAGAACTTTCGAAAATTCTAGGGTCGATTATTGCGTCTATTATGTTTTTCAATTAGGATTTTTAAACACTACAATTCAATAATGGCCTGGAGTCGACCTGATGATGGAGCCGACAGACAGTCAAGAAAACTCCTCAGCGGTTTATATTAACTACCTTGTGTTTGGGCTTGATTAATTTGTATTGACGAAGACTTTACATCTAGATAGAGTGGGGCTGTCAACAAGGGTCTGATGATGAAGAAGTGTAATTGTTAAGGGAACTCCTCAACGGTATACAGTAACTACCTGGGCTTGTATTGATTAGAACTTTGCGCCTATGCAGAGTATAAATGACAAAACGGATCTATGTAGCTTTTCACTGAAAATGATAAAATAGTAAAATAAAAACTGCGTTTAAAAACCGACTTCAAAAAACCAAAAACTAAAAACAAACAAAAGTCAAAATTAAAAAGAAAAAAATAACTATCATTAGCATAATAATATAACTTAATGGCCACAAAATTGTAAATTATGTATCTATTAAGGTTTTAATGAATAATTTGCTATAGAACTTATGGCGCCGACTTCTAACCTCAGTGAGTGAGTAACCTATCAGTACTAATGATAGTTATTTTCTACTTCACAAATAAACCAAGCTAGATACTAAGTGACTTTTGTGATCGAAATCATTAGCTAACATCTGTTAGTTTGTTACAATATGTTTAAGTAATTAAGTATTTTATTGTAATGATTGTAATACCCACTTGATAATAATTAAATGTATCTATGATGAATAAAAATAAATATGTGTTTAAATAAAAATATTTTTCATTACGCATCACTTTGTATCTGATAGTCTATACTTAAACATGATCAGGGAATTCAATCTCGAGATCTCGGCCATGTGAGCGAGATTAATCTTGGGCGATGTCGTGGTGGCCCGGAGGTTTAACCTCCGAACTTGATGGCTTCTCATGCATGAGGGTGTGGGTTTGAAACCTACTAACGGCGAGTACCAATGTGACTTTTTCCGAGTTATATGTACTTTCTAAGATTATCTAGACACCACTGACAAACGGTGAAGGAAAACATCGTGAGTAAACCTGGGATTATAATTTCTAATTATAAGTTTGTAGGTAATCGCATTGAGCAAGCGTGGTGATTAATGCATAACCTTCTCCGCGTGAGAAGAGGCTTTGCTCAGC